AAAAGGTTTATTATTTAAAAGAAAAAATTTTGGTTTATTTATAAACACTTGAAAAATGCTTCACAAAAAAGGCCTTCAAACCTTGCCTCCCTAAATAAAGATGAGATTGATTCATCAACATTTGAATTTATTTATTTTGTTACTAAGTGATAGTTATATGACAAAAACTTACCTTTACCTCACATAAATTCCATTTTCAATTAAAAACCAGGAAATCGAGAAGTTTTTCTTTACTTAGGCTTTCAATTACAAAAAAAAGACAGGAAGAGATTAAAGCTAAAACTTTGACCAACTTAGAAAAAAAACTCCAGCTTTGTTCTCTATAGATTGGGATTTGATTAAAAGATTGATATTGAAAAAATAAACAATAATTTTCATTAAGACAATACATTTTTATCACTTGTTTAAAAAATGTTATAACTAAATACCTTCTTTTACTGAGTAATTCTTTTCTGGTCATTTTATCACACTAAAGTAATCTAAAATGATAATAATAATAAAAATCATGGTATTATTTCATGCAGATTTAAATGTACATGTAACCTTTCCAATCATGTCATATTAAAGTTACCATCTATGAGGGCTTCATCAACTATGAGGGTACATCAACTAAGGGTTTGGATAAGCAGTATTAACACATGAAAGACACCTACTATGCCAAAAAAAAGATATACTTTAGCTTGTTAATTTATAACAGCGAAAAACCATATTTTAGTTATAATAAATTTCTTTCATACGTAGATAGTGAAACCTGCTGAAACCCTTAGTCATAAAATATATATAAAAAAAAGAAAGATAATGAAAAAGAATAAAATAAGAAAAATAAATAAAATAAAAATATAGAGAATGAAGAAAAGCAAAAAAAAAAGAAAAGAAAAAAATCAAACAAATCTAACAAAAAGAAAAAAAAACAAGTTAAAGGAAAAAAAACATTTGAAAATGGAAAGGAGTTAAAATAAAATATAAAAATTGCTCCATTTTTGAAGAAAGAAAAAAGAATATTTTTTAAATTTTATTATTTTTGAGTGACGATATGTGTTTGCTTGATATGATTTACTTTTTTATTTTAATATTGTCATTTATTATAAAAACTCTATACTTTTTGTGACTAAATCTTTGTGTGTCTGACACGTTTTTATTTGTGAGTATTATTGAATAATTTTTGTTTTGTTTATTTATTGTTAATTTTTAATGAAGTATTTATTTTATTTTATTTTTTTTTATTACAATTATTGATAATAAGATTATTATATTTATTAAATCATTATTACTTTTTTTTGCAGTAATTGTTTTAGTTACATGGTAGGTTGTTATGTTTTGTCAGGACATAACTGTTTGTAACTTTCCTGTCTGTGCATTATATTCAATTATTGTTTTAAATTTAATATTGGTTTATTATCATACAATTTTTTTATTATTCATACAACTTTTAAATTATCATCATTATTATTATCATTATTATTTGTATTATCAATTCTATTTCATGGTATTTACTTAAGATTAGTTATTAACTATTTGTAAATGACCTCGATTGTAAGATCTTTTATTGAAAATATATAATGATTGATTGATTGAGTCAATGTATGGACTAAAGCCGCAGCTATTTTAGAACAATGTCATCAGTGACATTTCAAAGATAGCTAAACCCATATTTATTAATATATGCACTTCAGTTTATTATATAATAAATTTTCATAATTTTTACAGTGTCTTAATTTTTAATAAAAAAAATTAATAAGAAGAAAAAAAAAAAGATAACTTTAGTCCTTGTAAATCTCTATTATTCATAAGTTGCCTTTGCACCTGCATCATTAGTATACACCCCTTAGAAATTGAAATCAATTACGATCTTTGGTGTGAAGTTCACAAGTATTAAAGAAAAATACAAAAAATACCAATAATTTAAAATATATTTTACAAAATAGATTGCTCAATATTCTCAAAAAAAACAAAATAATAATACATTTTTAGAAAACCACTTATCAAAATTATTTATTTTACACAGTGTTTCATTAATTAAGACTCAGTCATATCAGTCATTACATTTGTAAGTAAGTTTCAACTAAACCATATGTGTATATGTATATTGTATCATAGTAGAAGTTTTTCTAATATTTTACTTTAGATTCAAATTTTTATTATTTAAAATTTAAATATCTAATATATATACAATAATTAATATAGTTTATCGACTAGGATAGGTTATTGTAATATTTAACATTTATCATGCTACATTGAAACATAATGAGATATAAAAACCTTTTTATGCAGATAGCAGGAGATTTAAATGAAGAAAATAATTTTAGAGATATTTTTTTGTATGAATTTTTCAACTAAATATTAAAAGAAAAATCAGCAATATGATATAGTATAAGAATTAATTACCTTATCGTTACTTACTCGCAATGAATTTGCGGTTATAGCCGCCATCTTGAACATTTTAATTAATATCGCTTAGTAACAAAATAAACAAAATGAAGTGTTCATAAAATGTAGCACAAAGACAAGGTTTAAAAGGCTTCTAAAGTTTATCCCATTTCAAGTTTTTGTTTTAGTTTCTATTTTAAATAAACAAAACAAATTGATTTATTTAATTCATTAGATAAATATATATTTTTAAAGGAACAAGATTTTTTTGTGCTGCGAGAATATTTGTAAGTATTAGAAGTGTATATTGTGTCAGCAATTACAGAATGAGTAAATACCATAACTTATCAATAATATTGATAAGTTTTAATATTTACTCATTCTTTAATTATCTATCAATACAATTTGTTCCAGAAGATAATAAATAAAATGTCTTTAAAGCATCAAAAAGACAAAATTAAGGAGACCTAAAATTAAATAACTACAGAACTGATGCTTAAAAAAACTTGTTTTTACATCTTACTTTTATATTAGTTGTTTTAAATAACTAGCATTAAAAAACATGCATAAATTTGATAAGGAAATATTTTAAAGAATAAAGAGCAGAAAAACAACAACAGATTTTTAAAATATCAGGGTACGCAAAAAGATATTGTTAGGTATCCTCATTGAAAATTTAAACTTTTAGTTTTCCGAGCAAACCAAATCGATTATAATGATGAACTTTGATACCAAATTTATAATCTTAGATCACATAAGAGTAATGACATTTTTAAGGTGAAAAAATATATTGGAAACCTTAACAAAGATATAGAGGAAATTATTTTCAAAAAGTTTTTAAACATCGTATAAAATATACAAAATATAATTTTATAAGTATATTTTATACAAGGCCGGCGCGATAGGGGGGTGTGACATCCCCCCCCCCCCCCATCAATGATTTTTAGTCGGCGAATTTGACCTTTAGTCGGCAAATGTTACCCTTTTTGACTAGTTAGTCGGCAAATGTAGACCATGTCGATAGGTTAGTCGGTAAAGTCAGTCGGCAAATGTCGTTATGGCAGTCGGTAAATTTTAAAAAACGAGGACCTTTTTTTTTTTTTTTAGACGGCAAAAGTTGTAATGGCACCCCCTCCCCACGTGACACCTACTCGCACCGGCCCTGATTTTATATAATATAATATATTATATAAGAATGGAAAAGAAAAAAAAACTACTCAAACATCGGAAAAAAGCTACGGAAAAAGATCAAGATTTTTTAATTTTTTCATATATTTCTTTAGTTTTCTTTCATATATTTCTTTAGTTTCTTTCGTATATTTCTTTAGTTTTCTTTTATATATTTCTTTAGTTTTCTTTCATATATTTCTTTAGTTTTCTTTCATATATTTCTTTAGTTTTCTTTTATATATTTCTTTAGTTTTCTTTCATATATTTCTTTAGTTTTCTTTCATATATTTCTTTAGTTTTCTTTTATATATTTCTTTAGTTTTCTTTCATATATTTCTTTAGTTTTCTTTCATATATTTCTTTAGTTTTCTTTCGTATATTTCTTTAGTTTCTTTCGTATATTTCTTTAGTTTTCTTTCATATATTTCTTTAGTTTTCTTTCATATATTTCTTTAGTTTCTTTCGTATATTTCTTTAGTTTCTTTCGTATATTTCTTTAGTTTTCTTTCATATATTTCTTTAGTTTCTTTCGTATATTTCTTTAGTTTTCTTTCATATATTTCTTTAGTTTTCTTTCATATATTTCTTTAGTTTCTTTCGTATATTTCTTTAGTTTCTTTCGTATATTTCTTTAGTTTTCTTTCATATATTTCTTTAGTTTCTTTCGTATATTTCTTTAGTTTCTTTCGTATATTTCTTTAGTTTTCTTTCATATATTTCTTCAGTTTTCTTTCATACATTTCTTTAGTTTTCTTTTATATATTTCTTTAGTTTCCTTAGTATATTTCTTTAGTTTTCTTTCATATATTTCTTTAGTTTCTTTCGTATATTTCTTTAGTTTTCTTTCATATATTTCTTTAGTTTCTTTCGTATATTTCTTTAGTTTTCTCTCATATATTTCTTAGGATTATTTATTTACGATTTATTTTTTAGTTATGCTGTTATGCGGTCTTGCAGTAATGATTTTTTTTTTCTTTTCAATTTTTTAGCATAAATGGTTTTATTTTTATTTTTTATTAATTTATTGTTTTATTTTTTAGTTATTATTTCTTTTTAAAGTGATATAAAATTTTTTTATTAAGTTATATATTATTTGTTTTCATTTTTATTTTAGCCATTTATTTTATATGTTTTATTCTACCATATATTAGTATTATTATTATTTTTTCTTTCTTTCTTTATTATTATTATTTAAATCTTGTGTTGTTGTTTTTTTTTGCCAAAGTACTTAACGTAATTTTTTTTTGTTTGTTATGTTTTTGTAACTTTTTTTTTGTTTTTCTCAGTATTTTTCTGTTTACATTTTATTTATTTATTTGATCATAATATTTCTTATATATTTATATTATAACAATTAAGGCCGGCGCGATAGGGGGTGCGGGGAGTGGCGGTAACACCCGTCAATGATTTTTAGTCGGCAAGTTGGACCCTTTTAGACTAGTTAGTCGGCAAATGTCGACCCTTTCGATATAGGTTAGTCGGTAATCTAGACAGTCGGCAAATGTCGTCATGGCAGTCGGCAAATTTTCGAAAACGAGGACCTTTTTTTTTTTTAGTCGGTAAAAGTTGTAATGCCCCCCCCCGCCCCTCCCACGTGACACCTACTCGCGCCGGCCCTGATAACAACTATGTTAATATATTTACTAAATCTTTATAGTCGTTTTTATGTCATCGTTACTTGTTACGTTTTGTCAGTTTATTACTGTTTGTAACTGTAACTTTGAAGGTATAAACGATTGTTGTATGGAAACTATTACCGATTTATTTAAATTATTATAATTACTTTATTATTATTATTACTATTGTTAAAATAACATGTTATTATTATTTTTATTTAATAATATTACTTATTTTTATTATTATCATTATTACTATTGTTAATATTATTATCATTATTACTATGATTAATTATATATAAATAAATTTATCTTTTTAAGGTGTTTACTTGATTTAGTATTTCAATACTATTTGTAAATAGCCGTGAAAATTTATTTTCAGAATATATATATAAATAGTTGATTGATAAGTGATTGGTTATAATACCATCTTTATAAGAAAAAATGCTCTTTATATCCAACTTTATATTAATTAAAAAAAAAAAATTAATAATTGTGCTGTTTATGGGGATTTTGAACTGGGGCAGATGCAGAACTTTTTGTGTGTTTAAAATACCTAATTTCAAGCCAAATTAGTAAGCTCCAAATGTTTTTATGTTTGTACTTATTTTAAAGAAAAGATACTTTTCATTTTTTAGCCTTGTCTGCCCAAATGTATATGCAACAAGTTAATATAATATTTTGTTTATAATTCTTAACTAAATTTATATTTATTGATAAGTTTTAATTTTAATACGGTAGTTTCTTAGTGTTCTCAAAATACAACCTTATAAAAATTGAACCCCCTCAATTTTAGGATGTTACAAATATGTACATTACATGGCGCAACTTTTTTAAACGTAAAGGAGATTTTTTTAATTACCAATTATTATACATAAAATGAAAGATCTATAAATAATCAGCTAGCATGTTACTTTCATTTGTAAGCATTTACATTGGTATAGTTCATTATTTAAGAAAAGTGAAAATCTTTTACAAGGTTCGTTTATTTTGAAAATAATGTGGCTTTTTTACAATAATAGGGCTCTTAGGGTCGTTTTCACACCTACCGCGAATCGAAACATCGTAGGTTTTACATACTAACATCAATTTTGCAAAAAGTAGTAATTTTATATATATATATATATATATTTTGTGTATCAACAACATCGTCATTCACTTCTATAACAATACATAGAAACCGCAATACATAGTTACTTATATAGTGGGTTTATTACGTCAGCCTATTAAAATACTTTTTTTTTAAGTACCAGCTGTTAAGGTGAGTTTCCACTCGTCCGTTTTTTCATGGGAACGGGATAGGAAAGGGAAAAATAATCACGTGAGCATGCGTAGTTTTTCTTCTGACATATTAAAACTTATACTACACATGCCCACGTGATTATTTTTCCCGTCCCTTTCCCGTTCCTGTGAAAAAACGGATGAGTGGAAACTCGCCTTTAGAAGCGTTTTAAATAAAACAAATAAAATTTAAGACGACAACATAAAATTTTATTTCTAAATTGACTTAATTAGGTAAATAAAACATGAATCATTATTAATATTATTAAAACCACTCATTATTATAGTATCAATGTAGTATTTTTGAATGTACGAGAAGTATGAACTAAAAAAAATATCATTCCATACATATCGTATGTCCAATAAATAATCAGTTTGTTTCTTTTTTACTAAAAAAACAAATATTTTTTTACTTAGATTCATTTACAATGGCAAGATAAAAATATAAAATGAAAGATTGTAGCTCAAAACGAAGACTTCAATATACTGATAGTCAATTATGTGATGCTATAAATCCTGTTTAAAAAGGCATGGTTGTGTACAAAGCGAGCAAGACGTTTGGAATTCCTTATCAGACGCTTCGTGATAAAATATATGGAAGAACTTCTTTGAAGATGCAACACTGCGGGTATGACTCGGTTCTTGGTGAACAAATTGAAAACAAGCTAGTCGAGTGGTTACTAACATGCACCAGAAAGGGATTGGCAATGTTTGTAGTACAGCTATAAGATAGTGTGCAAAAATATTTGAATTCTAACAATATAAAATCACAATTTACTAACAACCGTCCTGCAAAAGATTGCATTTCTTTGCCGTCATAAACAGCTCAAAAACGAGGTGAATACTTAAACCGAGCTAGAGGAGGAATAACTGAAAAAACAAAGAGAGATTGGTTTACTGAAATTCCAAAGATTTTAGGAGAAAACGCTCAATATTAAATGATTCGATGCGCGTTTTCAATATAGATGAGAGTGGTTTTTAGTTGTCACCAAAAACTAATTTATTAATTGGCGAACGAGGAAAAAATACATATGAAGAAAGTGTTCGAAATAATAAAAAAAGCATC